TTCCTTGGAGGTTTTTAAGGCCCGTCTTGACAAAGCCCTGGCTGGGATGATTTAGCTGGGAATTGGTCCTGCTTTGAGCAAGGGGTTGGACTAGATGACCTCTTGAGATCCCTTCCAACTCTGATATTCTATGATTCTATGATTGTGGCTCTTTTTCACAGAAAGAGGAGATATGAAGAGTAGCCAAATCTATGCTAACTAGGAAACAACTCGGATTTGTGGAAGAATTATAGACCTTTTGGATGATCTGAAGGAGAAACCCAATTTTTGCAAACAGTGCTTATGTAAGCAGAAACACAGAAATGTTCACTACCAATCAGCAGTTACCTCAGGCTTTGTGAACTGATCTAAAAACCATTGTGGGGGAGGGGAGGAATGTGGTACCTCTAGTTTTATACATACTTGCTCTCTATGCATAGCCATACATATCAATAGTTATACTTTTTAAATGTCAATTACAAATTTATCAGAACAACAAAGAAAGTGACAGGAATGTGCCTAGCCATAAGAGAACTCATGCATCCTCTGGGGTTATTTGTGCTTCTATTCATTTAGATGGTCATTGTAGGTCAGACAAAATACAGTAGAAAATAAAAATCAATATTGTCTCTAAAGCACATACTATTGATGATTAAGAATTAAAAGCTCTTGGTTTTAGGAGTATTTTTCCATGAGGACAATGTGGTTTATAGTTTTTAATGTTAAATTGTATCTGATACAGTCTGATAACCAGTTTTTACCTTTTTGATATAAAAAACTTAAGGTGACTTGGGCTTGCAAAGTGAATACATAGTTTTTCATCTCTAGGCCACTAGAGTTTAAAATTACATACCAGTTGATGCATCATGAAGCTGCAGATCTGGCTATCTCCTTTTCTCCTCACCTATAGCTTCAACAACTGAACATGTTGCAGAAAGAAGGTTAAAAAAAAAAAAAGAAGAGAAATGCATCTTGGATGCATCCCAAAAGGGGTGCGCTGTGCCCCTCACCTGAATAAAATTCAAATAGTTTAACAGAGAATTGTGTAGACCATTTGTTAGATGTTGGTCATCTGTGTGAGGGCTGACTGCAATTTTGCCATAAGTCCAGACTCTTTTTCCTGCATATGTTTTGACTGTTTCTATCAACTGCTGTTTCCCATTGAGTCATAACATGGCTCCAAGTTCTTACTCTTTGTGTTTGGAAAGAGTGAGCCTCTGCCTTTGTGATGAACAAAATTTATTTCTTACTCAGTGAGGGTTACATAGTAAAACCACTTCTTGCTCAGGCAAGTCTAGTTAGCATCCCCATGACATCCTTCATGGTCAGCCCCACTCTCATTTCCCTGTTTGGACCTGGACATCGCCATACTGGTTCTACGTTACACTTCCATTATTTGTTCCTAAGTGGATATCACATGAGGGGAAGTTATTTTTCTAGTGTTTTGAGGAGTCTACAGTGGGCCATTATGCTGGGGTGGAGGGAGAGCTTTTGTCTGCAAAAGACGAGGATAGTTTGAGACTCCAGTGTGAAGTACACTCTGACCAGCTTCTCCTTCTGGAATCCTTCAGTTATGAGGTTTATGCTACTGAAATGAGCCACCTCACCCTGTTGAGACTAGCTGCTGTTTTGGCACTGTTTCTTCAGGCCAGGTGTGTTGGGGAGGGGGCTAACTTGCTACAGAATATGAACTATAGTAATTGTAAATAGTTAAACCAAGCACTCTTTACTGAAGAATTCAGGAGAAATTCCACAAACAAACAGTTTCCAATTAAATTGTATGCTAGTAGGGCTGGCAAACTATTACAAAAAAAATCTCAATTAACCATGAGATTAAAAAAAAAGTTGTGATTAAATGTAGTTTTAATTGCATTGTTAAACAATAATAGAATGCCAAGTTACATTTATTATAAATATTTTGGATTTTTTGACATTTTCAGATATATTGGTTTCAACTATAATACAAAGTATGCAGTGCTCACTTTATATTATTTTGATTACAAATATTTACACTAAAAAAAGATAAACTAGTATTTTTTCAATTAATTTCATACAGTATTGTGCAAGTGCAACTTACAAACTTAGATTTTTTTTTATATAACTGTAGTCAAAAACAAAACATTGTAAAGCTTTAGAGCTTACAAGTTGAAGCATGAAGAGGCATATGAATGTTTAGTGTATCTGGCAAGTAATAACT